AATGCACATTGTTGTGCATGGCAGCAGTGGCTCAGTGGTTGAGCATCAATGCATGAACCAGGAGTACATGCCTGGTTTGTGGGCTCAATTTCTGTTGTGGGGTGTGCAGGAGGCAGCCGATCAATGATTCTCTCCCATCATTGCTTTTCTCTCTCTCTCTCTCTCTCTCTCTCTCTCTCTCTCTCTCTCTCTCTCTCTCTCCCTCCCTTTCTCTCTGAAATCAATAAAAATATTTAAAAAATGCATATTGTTGCCAAATCTTTCCTTATTCTTGACATTAAAGTCTCTTAAGGATCAGCTTTCTCTCAGCCACTCCTGTGGCTCCTTGCAGGGGCAAACCCTAAGAGGCTGTCTCAGACTGTCTGCCTAAACACAACACTCAATCATTTTTATTCTGTGGTTCTGCCACTGTCTAGGAATTGGGGGCATTGATTCTGTTGTTCTCACATCCCTCAAGCTGATTTGGGGCTCTATCCCCCTCCCCACACATACCAATTTTGGAGTGAATAAGAGAGGTAGTTCCTGTGTATGGGGTTCCTTCTTAGGAGCTATAACAGGCATGGGTTACTTTAATTTCAAATCCTAACCAAAATCCTAACCAGCAGTGGTTAAAACAATTACCTCACACAACAAGAGGCCTGGAGATGCAGGGCAAGATTGACATAGCAGCCTAATTATATAACCAAGAATTCATCTTCCTGCTGTATTTCTACTTTGTTACCCTTTGCTGATGGCTTTTGTGTTTGTCACCATTGTGCTTGTCATGTTCACAAGACAACTGCCCCATTTCCAGGTGTCATATCTATGGTTGAGATGGGAAAAGGGGTAACACCAAATATGTCTCACTCTATCAGAAAAGCAGAAGCTTTCTTTGAAGCTCCCACCCAAATTTTCCTTACACTGCACTGCTCAGAGAACTATGTCATACATGCCCAGAACTATAAGTGAGACTAAGAAAGTGAGTATATGTATTTCTAGCCTTTATAGTTAAAGCTGGCGAAGAAACAGGTTTAAGAGTGTTACTGGGATATTCAACTCCAATATCTGGCTTAAGAACCCATATACTAGGTATATTTAAATTCTCACTTTTTTTTTCCTATTTGTATCTCCCACAATCTTATAAAATTTAAAGTAGTCTCTCTAGAACAAATATTTAGTTGGCTTACTCAATGTCCATTTCTAACCACTTTCTCCATCACTTTCCTCTATTCTATGGGTTAGAGATTCTAAATGCTTGATTTCTCAGCTTTTCTTGTTTCTAAGGGTAGTCATGTGACCTGGTTCTAGTCAATCTGATGTGTGTGTGTGTGTGTGTGTGTGTGTGTGTGTGTGGCTTCCTTCCCCAAATAAAAAAGGAAAAGACTCACTAGGGGAAGTAGTTTTTGAAATCTTTGTCATTCTTATCTTCCTGTGTCGAAGTCTTTTTTTTTTCTTCTTCTTCTTCAAATATATTTTTATTGATTTTAAAGCGGAAAGGAGAGGGAGAGATAGAAACACCAATGATGAGAGAGAATATTGATCAGCTGCCTCCTGCATGCCTCCTACTGGGGATAATTTTGATGCCTAAAGGTGCAGCCACCATCTTGTGACTGCGAGGGGACAAAAATGACACAGAGATGATGAAACAAAAAGAATGAGTTTGGGACATAATAGCACGGGGGGTCCACTGCATCAGACCTGCAGAGCCTATCTGTGAACTTTTCATACAAGACTAATATATCCCTACTTGTTTATGACAGTCTTAGAGTTCCCTGTTACTTGTGGCCAAATGTAATCCTTACTCACATAGGCAAGAAACAATGTTTTTATATTATCATATAGTTCTTCCAAATCTATTGTCATTGTCAGAGCTGTCCCCATTCTCTTAAAAGCTCCTAACTTTCAAAATTCAAAAGAAAAGAAATAATCTCCTTTCTCTAACATTCTGTGATATCATACAATGACACCACATAATTTTTCCAAATGGGGAAGGGCTATATGAGGTACAAGGAATATAGGGGGGAAATCCCTGATAAATATTACAAAATATAGCTCACCATAGTTACAAGTACATAGAAACCCACCCAAATTAAGCAAAAGAGGAAAGAGAATTTGTTAGATGGATGTAAGTGTATTTCATAGACCCAATAATAGGAAGTACAGTTGAAACTCACTATGGTCTAGAAATAGGATCGGGAGAGCTATTATGAACCAGTGCAATTGTTCTTTCTTCCTCTCTGGACACATCATTTCTTCTGGTTGGCTTTCTTCTTCTCTCAAGACATTGGTTTTTTCTGCTTCTGTGTGCACAGGCTATCAATGCAAATGCAAACTAAGATTGAGTAGTGTCTTTTCTTTTTTAAAATCTCTGTTCAATATGGTTGCATGTCAATTTTTATTCCAATTAGTGACCATGGGGATGGGGGTCAAATAACTTATGAGTTCTTAGGAACTAAGGGAGAATACTATTTTGAGTAAATACCTGTATGTGTGGCTGTGATTATTGAAGAAGAAAAAATAGATATCTTTGGTATACTCCTGATATCCAAATCTGCAGACAGGTAAATCTAATTAATGATTCATTCATTCTGCAAACATTGGTCTCACTTGTTCCTCCCCTGTGTTTTCTCTTAGAGAATGTCAGTACCATTCATCTAGTTGCTCACATCATAAACCTCCTCACAACCACAAATCATCACAATAGCTAACAGTTAATAAGTATGTGTACTAAGCATTCTATATGCATTATTTTAAATTCAGCCTTACAACAACTTAGCAAGTAAGTCTTACCTATTTTATGGGTAAGCAAAGTGAAATTTGGATTTGTTAAGTCAAGCTTTCAACATTTCTCTTGGATTACTACAATAACCTCTTGTTTCCCAGCCTCTGCTATTGCCTCTCCTTATCCACTCTCCCTCTTCTTTCCTAATAATCAGAGTGGCATTTCTAAAACACAAGTCTTATCATGTTACTTTCCTGCTTAAAACCCTTCTATGGTTCCTTCATGATAAAATCCAAATTCCTTTACATGGCCTACAAAGCATTTCAAGGCCTGGACAACATTCATCTTTAACAACCTCCATCTGAACCTCTTTCAATCTGGTACCTCTGAAAATAATCTATGCTCAAGCCACATAGATTATTTTCAGAGATTAACGGTTTGTTTCTCACCTCTGCACAACAACTCAGTAGCTATTCTCCTAAGGCACTACTACACATTAGCCACACTTAGGAGTCAGCTTAGATGTTACCCTATCCAGAAACAATACTTGTTTAATTTGGGTGCTCTTTGTTAACACTTCTGTATTACTCAGTACCTTTTTTTCTATACTTATTACATCATACTGTAATTGTTAGATAATATACTCTGTCTCTCTTGTTATAATGTAAAGTCCATGAGTGGAGAAATTATGTCTTGTTCAATGTTGAAAACGCTAAGATTAGTGTAGTGTTTGGAACATAGTAGATGTTCAATACTAGTAAATGTTTGTAAATGAATGAATCTTCAGAAGTCTGGAAGAACTTACAAAGCTATGTGGAGAGAAACAGATATTTATTATTTCCTGTTTTGTGAATGTATTGTTCTGACAGCTATCCCTTTTATCCCTATTCTTTTGGCCTATAATTTATAAACATTGAGCAGATAAACATTTAAAAATTAATAAATCAGCTGAGGAAACACATCACAAAATAACAGAAAGTGATATAAAATGGTAAGTTAAATGTGTCAAACTTAGTGAGAGGTAAAGAAAGTTTAAAGAAGCAATAAGGTGGTGAGATTGGGGGAGAAAAAGCAAGAAACTGAATTTCCCCCAGCTTATTAAATTTAATGTATTTTGCTGGCAATATTTCATTTGATCCTCACAAGAATTCTCTTGAGGTTGATATACAATATTATGCCTGTAGTAAAGAAAAGGAAATTAGATCAGGTTAGAACACAATTAACTGAATGATTATACAACAAATTCCCTACAGATAGAAATTAAATCAACCTTCAAAAATATGGCCAAAACTGGTTTGGCTTAGTGGATAGAGTGTTGTTCTGCGGACTGAAAGGTCCCAGGTTCGATTCCGGTCAGGGGCATGTACCTTGGTTGTGGGTACATCCCCGGTAGGGGGTGTGCAAGAGGCAGCTGATAGATGTTTCTAGCTTTCTATCCCTCTCTCTTCCTCTCTGTAAAAACTCAATAAAATATATTAAAAAGAGAAAAGAAAATATTATGGAGACATGCCAGGGTAAACCACCCCATACCCTGAATGATCCTTTTTTTGGGGTCTGGGTTCCTGTATCAGTGTTTATCTTTCTCTCTTAAACCTATTTCCTTCACTCACTTATCCACTTTGTAGACATACTGCCTTCCGTCAAGATAAATTCCACCTCCTTCCTCATGTAAGTTCTTTCTTGAGCAAAACTTGCTTAATTAAACCTGCTTTCTGATTTAGCGAAACTTTTTCCAGCCCAGATAAGCATCCCAATTTCTCCTTCAGATAGTTGTCAACAACACAGCAGGAAATATCAACACGAAGCAGATTGTTATTGTAATTCACGCAAGGGAGAAAAAGGGTAAAATATTTAACTGTAGAAGTGTTTGACTATATTCTGCCCAGTGAGACAACTGGAAGTCATTTTCAAGTTCCACCATTTCTTACTTCTTTTCAGTCAGGTCAAGTTTCTAAACTTTCTAAATCCCTGTTTTCTTGCTAATAAAAAGAAAATAAGATTCTAGAAAATAGGGGAAAAAGAAGACATATGTACTACTATTTGTAATAGTTTAAACAATAAAATTTTTTTTTAATATTATACTTAAAAATTAAATCTAGGGGGAAATTGTAAATGTATAAAATATTCATTAAAATGACTAACTCAATCAAATTATTTTAATTAAAATAATGTTTAGTAAATGTGATTGATCAAATATTTGCTTCAGAATATAGTTTCTCAATGAAAATTCACATAGTACCAATGTGGAAAACTCATCTAAATGTAGAATTAAAATAACTTTGGGGGAAAAAAGAAAAGAAACTCAAAGGAGGCTAGTCGCTAGGGAGAGGAAGCCGGGCGTTGCTACGTGACGTCATTACCCGGCGCCCACAGCGACGTTTCCGGCCGGGCTGTGGGCCGCCCTCTGCGGAATGGGGTCGTGGCAGCGCTGGCTGCGTGTTGGCGGGCTGTCGCTCCGGGGTGGCGGGGCCTGCGTCCCGCTCGGGGGCAGCCGCTCGGTTTGCGGGCGCCAGGTCCGTGGTGCAGCGGGAGGGGCGGGGGCGGGGGCGGGGGCGGGACGGAGCTGCCGGCGCGGGGCCGCAGGCGCCCGGCGTGGCCTCCGCCCAAGGCTCCCGAGCCCCGGGGCCCGCCCACCGGCAGCTCCGTGAGACCGGCGGCTGGGCCCCCGCCTTCCACACGGGCCCCAGTGGGAGGAGGCCCCGGTGTGGAGGGACGGGGAACTGGCGGCTGGAACTGGATGTGTCACTTGCACATGGCAGTCTTAAGCCTCGGTTTACTTAGAGAAGGAAAACTCGTGGGGTCCCATTTTTAACGTTTGGGCGTCTTGACAGACAAGTCAGCTGAACCACGTGTCTCCTGGGTTGTGATCAATTACAGTAGGTGAATAACACCTACCTAGTAGAAATGAATAGAATTGGACTGGAAAAAAAAAAAAAAAAGAACGCTCTTTTAATCACAAACTCCGTATCGTTTTTACTTTCACAGCCTGATAATAAAGATGGCTTATTTTAAAACTTTTTTTTTTTTTTTAAAGTTATCTGGCGCTGAAAATGAGACCCTAGAACAGAGAAGAACACAAATCATGTCCCGCGGACTTCCAAAGCAGAAACCAATAGAAGGTGTTAAACAAGTAATAGTTGTGGCTTCTGGAAAGGGTGGAGTTGGAAAGTCTACAACAGCAGGTATTATAGGATATTAATTCTAATCTCAATTAGGAACTTGTGGCAACGGGTGAGTGCACAGTATTACATTTGTAGATTTGTTTTTTCCAAGTTAGTATTTGTGAAGTTCATATTAGCTGGTTACTTAATGTCAGGAGCTGGTAGAGATTAGGAGCCTAGATTTTGGAATTAATAGACAAAACTTGGTAGGTAGCCAGGCCTTTGACTCCTTAACTGAGGCAAAGGTTGTCAAGTTGCCCATCAGATCTTTAGTTTACTTAACAGTTCAATGTTTTCCAAAGTGTGGTACGCATACCCCCAGGCGTAACGGGAAGAGTTTGGTGGGGTACCCGGTGCACTGGAGTTTGGTAAGGATATGCATTGCACTGTGCTTAGCTGCGCCTAATTCTGCATTCTCAAGAGTACGAGGGGTACTCAGCATTATGAAAATTATAGAAAGGTACACATATGTCAAAAGTTTGGGGAACACTGACTTAAATGTAAAATGGCAAGATGACAATCTTTTGCATTAGATTGTTACGTAAATTAAACTGCACACTTAGCCCAGTGTCTCCTACATAGTGAGTGCTCAGTATTTGGTTACTGTTATTATTTGAAAACCATCTATTGACTTTAATACTGAATTATTTCTGTTCTTTGGCAACCTTTTCCAGTCATTTTCCATTTAAATATAGTTGTTCATGTACTTGTAATGAGATTGTTTACATTATTGTGACCTTTTTTATTTAATGGTAATAAAATATAATTTTCAGCATTTATAAAGTCAATATTTTCAAATATAAGGTCTATATTAGGTCTAAGGTTTAATGTAATTATTTATCTTCTAATCTTTATATCTTTTATATTAATATATTGGAGCAGAGAATATATATATATATGTTTTTATGGTGGCTCTTCTTAATTTATTGTAGATTTCATGGTGCCTGAAGTGGTGCTTTTATTACCCATAACCAGAAATAGAAGACTTACCATCCAAAACTAATAAACAGATATTCCCAAGTTTTTTTTCAAAAGAAACCTCTTATTTCTAAAAAGTTAATCCAGTGTAATAATTTTAAAGGGTAACATCCCTTCTCCCAATCCTACTCAACAGAGTATTATTAATTTTGGGTCATAAAGTTCTCATGTCTTATGGTTGCCTCATATTTAATTTTCAGTTATTTCAATAGGAATGGCTGCTAATTCAGGTCTTAGCTAACCAATCTTTTTATTTTTTATTTTATATTTTATTTTTAAAAATATATATTTTATTGATTTTTTACGGAGAGGAAGAGAGAGGGATAGAGTTAGAAACGTCCATGAGAAAGAATCATCGATCAGCTGCCTCTTGCACACCCCCTACTGGGGATGTGCCTGCAAGCAAAGTACATGCCCTTGACCGGAATCAAACGCGGGACATTTCAGTCCGCAGGCTGACGCTCTGTCCACTGAGCCAAACCGGTTTCGGCTAACCTATCTTTTTATTTGCAGTTAATTAAAAAAAAATGACTACCTTATTATATTTCACTTTAATTTTAGTTGCTTCTATACTGATCTTTAAAATTTGTGGACTTCTCCCCTCCCCGAGATTATTAACCTGAAGTTACGGCATATATATCTCTCAAAATTCTTTATTTCTATTGAAATTAATGACATTTTTGAAATAAGAAGGGCCAGGTACAGAGTTCTGTGACTGTCACTAGAAATCTGTGTCTTTACTTAAAGCCATATTTAGTAATTCCTAGGTCTTAGTGGTTTTATAGTTGCACAATTAGCAATAAATCCGATGATATAATTTTATTAGTTCATTTACCTCTTCCCCATTTTTACTTGAAGGTAATTGTAAAAGAGTTTCTTCAGATGTTTGAAGAAATTCATATCTACCAAGTATTGTAGTGATGACAGACCCTTAATTTACTATTTAATAGATTATAAACTATTAAAATGATTAGTTAGTGACTGTTCTAAAGAATTCATGCTGTATCAGACACACTTTTGCTTTCCTAGGGGTCTACAATCCATCTATTTTATATTTTGTTTTTAAGATTTAGAAGTTCTTAGTTTTTGGCCGAAACCGGTTTGGCTCAGTGGTAGAACGTCGGTCTACGGACTGAAAGGTCCCGGGTTTGATTCCGGCCAGGGGCATGTACATTGGTTACGGGCACATCCCCGGTGGGGATGCAAGAGGCAGCTGGTTGATGTTTCTCTCTCATCGACGTTTCTAGCTCTCTATCTCTCTCCCTTCCTCTCTGTAAAAAATCAATAAAATATATTAAAAAAAAGAAAGAAGTTCTTAGTCCTTGGTTCTTGTATACATCTCTTTTTAAAATTTAAATTCAGAGTATATTTACATATTTTCAGTGGTGTGAATAATTTTGTATGCTCTGTGACTACTTGGTCTAGTTAAAAAATCTAAGTTATTTTCCTGATGAGACCCATAATTTGCTGGGTCTATAAGCTAGCACTTTTTTTTTTTTTTTTTTTTTTTTTTTTTTTTTTTTTTTTGAATCAGAGGTATGGAAGGGGAGTGAATTGACGATTCTTGGGGAAAAGGGGAGAAGGGGATGTGGGAAGAGACTGAACATAAACTGTGCACCTATGGATGAGGACAATGGGGAGTGGGGAAAGGGCAGAGGGTGGGAAGGAACATTTGTAATAATATGAACAATAAAAATTTATTTAAAAAAAATAAGCTAGCACTTTTTTTTTTTTTAAAGCTGATTGTTCATTGCTTTTAGTTAGAAGATTACCTATTGCCATGGAATGTGATAGCATATAAATAGGTAAATATATGAGAAAATGTATAGTATATGTCACATGTAGGTGTTTTAGTAAGTTCCCTTCTTTGCTTTTTTTCCTTTGTTAATGTTATACAACCTGTCCCAAACAACTGGCCTATCCTTTTTTCATAACAGCCCTATCTGCATACATAAGCCTTAGAAATAGGTTATTTCTAAGTAACTGTTGTTATTATGTTTATTTCCCTTTTATATATTTATTCTTGTGCCAAATGATTTGAAAATACTTCCCATTTGAATGTGTATGCTAGAGATATTTTGGATTAGAATGATAACATTTGATTAGTACAAACATGCTCTGTGATCCTATTGTATAAATATTGAAACTCCCTAACATTAAAATGAATTAACCTTTGACGGTTTCCACTTAATGTTGGATTATGTTAGGTTTATGATGTACTTGAAAATCAGAATTACTTTATAATTTATAAAGATTAATTTATCAAGTGCCATGCCCTAGGCTAAGTACTTTGCATACAGTATTTCATATAATTCTCAGAACAGTTATGAAATAGGAATTATTCTTATTTTATAGAGGCAGAAACAGACTTAGGGGCTAAAATATCCTATTCAAGGTTACATAAGGTGGTGGTGGAACTGGGATTTGAACCAGGCCTACCCAGAAACCTATGCTCTTAACTACTTTAAAGGAAACAATCTCGGCTTCATTTATAACATAGATTTGTAAGGAATGTGATCCATAGTATAAGGGTCCATTTACCAGTCATGGAACATCTTTATTGCTGCTCTAAAGGTGGTTTTCAGACTACTACTTTCTTCCTTGCTAGTCTTTGGGATTCACTAGAATAGACTGTTTTCAGAACATGTTTTACCACTTTATCTTTTACCTTCCTCCCTTTTCTTTGTACAGTGACTCAGACTTTCATATATGTAAATATTATGAGTTACATATTTAGAATTCCTGCATCAGTCGCATTTATTTTTAAAAAACAATATAATCATACCCATTTTTATTTATTAAAAGGTAGATATTTTTTTGAAAACATGTTTTTGAAATAATTAAATATATATACCATTAACATAGTTTTAAAAAAACTAAGTAGATTATTTAAACAAAATTATAATAGATTATAAATGAATTATTTGAAATTTTAAAAAGCATCTATTATGTTGGAATCTTACTTTTGAGGGTTTTTTTTTTTTTTTTTTTTTTTTTTTTTTTTTTTTTTTTTTTTTTTTTTTTTTTTTTTTACTTCCTGAATTCTCTCCATGTCCTTGTAAAAAACATATAAGGAAAATATATTAAATGTTTCTGTGCTTTGGTTATTACATTGTAAATATTAAGAGAGAAAATGAATTTTAGTAGAAGGAAATTTACTAAATTCAATTACTTTTTTGTTTCTTACAGTTAACCTTGCACTTGCTCTATCAGCGAATGATTCGGTAGGTGTTCATTAATAGAAATATTAATTTATTAAAATGTTTCTTAAGGCACTGATAAAGAGCATATTGATGTTTTTCATTTATTCTGTCAAAAGCTATTAATGCTGCTCTTGTAAGTTGCATGTCTTTAAGGAATTCAAAATCTCCAGTAATCACTGGTTATGTTTAATAACACTAATAAAAATAAAGGGGACCACTAGTCACAGAATTTAGGCAGCCTCTAGAAACTAGAAAAGGCAAGGAAATGGATTCTTCCCTAGAGCTTCCAAAATATGTAATTCTGCCAATATACTAACATTAGCTCCTTGAACCCATTTTGGACATATGTGATAATTTCTTACAGTAGAAATAGGAAACTAGATAGAAAGTCCCTTTTCTTAATTCTTGACTTTCCAAATATCTCTTTATTTTGCCTTCATATTTGATAGCTTGACTAGATGTAGAATTCTAGGTTTAAAATAATTTCCTCTCTGAACCTTGAAAAAAAAATTCCATTTTCTTCTACATGCTAATGAAATGTCTGATGCTAGTCTGATTCATATTGCTTTATAATAACCTATTTTTTTCCTCTCAAAGCTTTTTGAGTTTTTTTGTTGTTGTTTGAGTTTAGAAATGTCACAGTTATGCATCTAATTGTTGGCTTTACATTTCTTTTTTTACTTGCTTGGAAACTAGCCAAACAGTATCAAAGTTTCAGTTTTTTTGAGCTTAGGGCAATTTTTTTTTTATTGATTACTTGTTGTGATGTGTTTGTTGTCTCTCCAGAAACCTATTAGGTAGATATGGACCCTTTATGCCAGTTAATTTTTCTCTCATATTCTCTATCTCTTTGTCTTTTGTTTTGTCTTTTAGAAGATGTCTTAGATAATTTTCTACACTGCTGTACTAAATTTTAGTTGTTATTTAGTCCTAATTTTTTTAAAATTCAGAAATTGTATTTTTTCCAGTTTTTCAGAACGATTTTTTATTTTCCAATTGCTGTCCCTACCCACTTTAAAAGAATGGTTGTATTATTTGTTTGAATCTCTCTGAGGATGCTAATTAGAATTAATAAAGAAATAATCTTTTTAATGAGCATTCTGTTTACTTAGCATGATGGTTTTCATAATATGGTCCTCAAACCAGCAGAGTCAGCATTACCTGGGAACATGTTAGACATACAAAATCATCAGCTCCATGTCATACCTACTGAATCTGAAATTCTGAGGGTGGAGTCCTGTAATCTGTGTTTAAATTAGTCTTCTTGGGTATTTTGATACATGGATCTAGAGGTTTTTAAAACTAATCTGCAAATGGCACCCTTTTTGATTTTCTAATGTTGTTATATATTTTTTTCTGGAGTAGGATGACACATTTGCATAATTTTTAAAAAATTTATCATTATTTTAAATACTGTTGAGGTTATTACAGATATCCCTCTTTTTCTCCCCCTTTCCCTCTTTCATTCATTTTCTGCCCCACCCCAGGCCTTCTCCACCCTATCGACTGTGTCCATAGGTAATGTATATATGCATTTAAGATCTTTGTTTAATCTCTTCCCTCCACCTACCCCTTTTTCCTCTGGGAATCATCAGTCTGTTCCATTTCCATGCCTCTGATTCTATTTTATTCACCAGTTTATTCTGCTCATTAGATTTCTTATTCGTTTATTTTGATTTTTAAATTCAATTGTTGATAGGTATGTATTTGTTGTTCTTATTTTTTATCTTTTTATTTTTCTTCTTCTTCCTCATTTTAAAGAATACCCTGTTGCATTTCATATAATACTGGTTTGGTGGTGATGAACTCCTTTAGCTTTTTCTTGTCTGTGAAGCTCTTTATCTGACCTTCAGTTCTGAATGATAGCTTTGCTAGGTAGAGTAATCTTGGTTGTAAGTGCTTGCTATTCACCACTCTAAGTATTTCTTGCCACTTCTTTCTGGCCTGCATAGTTTCTGTTGAGAAATCAGCTGACAATCATATGAGCATTCCCTTGTGGGTAATTAACTGCTTTTCTCTTCTGCCTTTTAAGATTCTCTCTTTGTCTTTAGCCCTTGGCATTTTATTATTATTATTATTATTTATTATTTTTTTAATATATTTTATTGATTTTTTACAGAGAGGAAGGGAGAGAGATAGAGAGCTAGAAATGTCAATGAGATAGAAACATCGACCAGTTAGTTGCCTCTTGCACACCCCCTACCGGGGATGTGCCCGCAACCAAGGTACATTCCCTTGACCAGAATTGAACCCGGGACCTTTCAGTCCGCAGACCGACACTCTACCACTGAGCCAAACCGGTTTTGGCATAGCCCTTGACATTTTAATTATGATGTGTCTTGTGTGGTCCTCTTTGGATTCCTCTTGTTTGGGATTCTCTGTGCTTCCTGGACTTGTAAATCTATTTCTTTCATCAGGTAGGGGAAGTTTTCTGTTATTATTTTTTCAAATAGGTTTTCAATATCTTGCTCTCTCTTCTTCTGATACCCCCATAATGTGAATGTTGATATGTTTGAAGTTGTCCCAGAAGCTACTTCCACTATCTTCGTATTTTTGGATTCTTTTTTTTTTTTTTTCTCTTTTGGTTGGGTATTTTTTGCTTCCTCATATTTCAGATTGTTGATTTGACTCTCAGAGTCCTCTACTCTTCTGTTGAATCCCCATATATTATTCTTTATTTCATTCATGCTTAATTTCTGACTGGTCCTTTTCCATTTTTTTTTTTTTTTTAGGTTTCTAGAAGATTCTCAAGTAACCTTATAACTGTGGGTTTCTATAGCCAGTAGTTTGCTTTTTTTCCCCCACTTGTGACATATTTCTTTGTCTCTGCATTTTGTCTGCTTCCATGTGTTTGTTTCTATGTATCGGGTAGAGCTGCTAAGTGTCCTTGAGTTGGTAGAGTGGCCTTGTGCAGTAGGTGTCCTATGGGGGCCAGTGGCTCAGCTTCCCTAATCACCTGAGCTAGGAGTTCTAAGTGCACCCCTTTGTGCGCTGTGAGCACAGTCTTGTTGTAGTGGAGACTTGATTGCTGTTGGTGTCACTGGGAGGATTTGACATCCAGGCCAATTGGTTGTGAGGACTGAGACACCCTTATGGGGCAGGACTTGGTTCAGTGGGGCTTTGGTGCTCAGAGTCTGTCCCTTGAGTGTGTTGCTTATGAATGCGTAGAGTTGTAATATGTTATGGTCTGACATTGATCACTGGGTACACTGGCTCTTGGGTCTCCAGGGCAGTGCAGTCAGCCACCCAGCAGGAGCTACAGAAAGATCTGCAGATTTCTCCTCTTTGTATTGGGTTTGGAAGTGTCCAGATGAGGCCAGCTATGAGCAAGGCAGGCTGGTGCTGGTACTGGTTCTTGGACCTTTTATTGATAGGTTTGGGACTCCCTAACCTAGCTGCAGCTTGTTTGAGTGATTTTAGCCTGAGCAAGGACAGGCCATTCATATGCAAAAGCCGCTGTTCACAGCTTGGGTGGGGTTGTAAATTGGATGAGGTGGGGTCTTAGGAATCGTCAGGGCGGAGCAAACAGAAATGGCTGCCAGTCAGCCCTGCAATTGGGGAGGTCCCAGCATAGGAACAATGATTTCTACAAGCACCTTGATCTGGTTTCTGCCCTGAATCCAATTCCTCCTTGATCTGGTGTCTATATTCCCCAGAGCCTCACCTTGGTGCTGGAGCACAGAGGAAGTGGGAGCTTGTAAGTTCAGTTCATGGTGCTGGCCTTTTAAGAAGAACAGCTGGGTCTCCAGCAGCCTCTGTGTCACTGAGCCCCAATCCGCACTGGTTTTTACAGCCATTAGTTCTTGCTGCCTATAGGGACTTCTTTTCCCAGCTCTGGGACCCTGAGCTGAGGCTCTGATGTGGAGCTGGGATCGCTTGCTCCTCTAGCAGCCTCCACATTAAAAAGTGGCACACATGGGTGCCAGACCAATCCTTTCTGTGCCTCTGCACCTCCTACCAGTCTCAGTGTGCTTTCTTCTCTACTTCTCTAGTTGTAGGATTTCCATTCAGGCAGCTTTCTGGTGGTTCTGGATGACGGTTGTTCTGTGTTTTAGTTGTAATTTTGATGTGGTTGTGGAGGTGAGGAGTAAGGCTTTTACCTACGTCGCCATCTTTTGGATTTCTGGTTATATTTTTTTATTTAGTTGTAAACTATTTTTTTCTATTATTGTTTCAATGGGAATTTGGGATAGAAGAGAGAAAATCATATATATTTAGTCAATGTTGTTGAAGTAAGAGCCAGTAATACATTAAAAAATAATTTTTATTAGGATACTTTGTTACCTAGGGGAAGGAACCATATTTTTCTTAAAGAAGGGAGGAAACAGAAAATTGAATGGGTGGGAGGGTAGATGCATTTGGGGGATCTTTATTTATTATTATTATTTTTTAAAATATATTTTATTGATTTTTTACAGAGAGGAAGGGAGAGGGATAGAGAGCTAGGAACATTGATGAGAGAGAAACATCGACCAGCTGCCTCCTGCACAGCCCCCGCCGGGTTTGTGCCCTCAACCAAGGTACATGCCCTTGTCTGGAATCAAACCCAGGACCTTCCAGTCTGCAGGCCGATGCTCTATCCACTGAGCCAAATCGGTTCTGGCATAAACAAATATGTTAACACTAGAGGCCACTCACCTGCCTCCCTGATTCCCCTTGTGTTCTCAGCCTGCCTGCCTGGTCACCTCTAAATGCTCTGCTTGCCTGGTCACCTCTAAATCTCTGCCTGCCTGTCTTCTCACCTCTGAATGCTCCCCTGCTTGCCTGATCGCCCCTAACTGCCCAGGTTTGTCCAGAAGGTTGTTCGGTTGTCCAGTCTAATTATCATATTATGTTTTTATTATTATAGATAAAAGTTTGGATGTCATGGCCAAAGAAAAAGGAATTTCTGGGCTGGATCTTAGTCCCAGTTTAAAAGAAGACTATTTTGTAGATTGAGGTGAAGGCCTTATAGAAATGGGGTGTGGCTTTTCCCTGCCTTTACCTTGCCTTTTATACTTTACCTTGAGGTTATAGAAGTT